AACAATGGTGTGGATATTGGAAGATACGAATTAACGCTCAAAAATCGCAGCTCCTACTCATAAGGAAAAGGAAGAAAAATGTTCCGATCAGGCAAAGTGTTTATCTTTTTAACGAGGCTGTGCCTATCGTGAAACAAGCCAAATATCTGGGCATCACCATCAACGACAAGCTCACATGGCAGCATCACATCCAACAAATCAGGGATAAAGCGAAAAAAAGTCATGAAATGTTTATATCCTATGATAGGGAAATATTCAAAACTTTCGTTGGACAAGAAACGACTTATTTATCTAGCCACAATCCGACCCATCATGACGTACGCTTCGCCAGCATGGACTACCGCTACGAAGGGTGAAATCCAAAAATTACAAGTTGTGCAAAACCAATTTTTAAGAATTATCACAAATGCACACCCGTATGTGAAGAACAAACGTCTCCATGAAGATTTAAAAATGGATACAATAGTGGAATATTTAAGAAACTAACACGGCATTTTATGACGCCGCTAAGGAGTGCCAACATATGGACATTTTCAACCTATTTCACTATGAAATTTTACACGAGGACAGGCACCTCCGTCCATATGCCGCTTTTCTACTCAGTGGAAACCAGGATTTTCCAACATAATTTGTGTTTTTAAGTATGTAGTACTCTGAAAAACTTATTTGACTTGTAAATAATGATGTTTAGAAATCTTAGCCGGATGATCATGTGACACACACAGCCACGCCCACAAGATATTACTTATATTTTTCCTGTATATACTATTTTACTTTTTGGAATCGTATTTTATTTTCTGCATTTATGACTGCAACACACACCTTTTATGAACTGATTTAGTACTATTTTATGTATAACTATTGTAAAACTTCAGATTTACAGCGCTACGATGCCTGGATACCTCATCGCCAACCAGATGTCTTATCGCTCATCACGTGACATTGGTCACACCCCCTGCATCTGCTATCCTGTCTCCACGAGAACTACGTTCGGCATTTCCTTACCTGCAGCGCTCCTAGAAGCACCAAAGTTCGATAGCCGGAACACAACCTGCGATTTCGCAGGTTAATCGCGGCAAATAAAGCAAGTTGAGTTTGGCTCAACCTTCAGTTTGGTTCCGGCGGTGTGAGCGTTCCAGCCCTCAGGGAGCAGCCTCGGGGAAGATCTGATCAGTGCGATGATGGTTCAGATGAAGTTTCGGTTCCGGGTATCGTGAGTGACTGCCGTGGGCGGCGTCTTTTTAAGAGGCGGAATTAAATACTGAGCGGGACGATCCTTGTGCAAACGGAGTTAGGCCGGTTTTTAAGTGTTTTCACATTTAAATTTTCAGGTGTTTTTGACCATGATTATGGTCTTATTGAATGGGTAGCCAGTTTTACTTTTAGGCTGCATAGTCACTATTTAGGACATCTTCATTTTTTTTTTTTTTGGTTTTGTTTGTATAGAATGCCAGTGTTTTGGAGTACAGGTAAAAATATTTGATGAATGATGATTATGTTGTGTTTTTCCTAATACTCTAATATTGTTGACATTTATTTTATGTGTTTTTATTTTTTATTATATTGTTAATAAATTGGTTAAGTTCAAAATCCTTTATTGTCTTCAATGTCTGCACAACATATCTCAGGGAGCTTTCATTGCTACCACTGCTAAATGTTTAATTTCTTTAAACTTTGCTTTAGCATCAGATGGCAATTCCAGTTTTCTTGAGGTTGGAACGAAAGGTTCTTGAGCTAATATTAAATGTATTTTTTCTTCTTGCGCTATTTTGAGTGCATGTGGTAAAGTTATTTTTGCTCCCTGAAGATTAATTTGTAGTATCCGTAATGGTGGTAAATGGTTAAGAGGATGGTTATCTATTTCTTAAAAGGGATAGTTTGTTGGTAAGTCTTGTTGATTCAGTTAATAAGAGGTTTTTGATATTATTTTCTCTACTTCTTGTTTTACGTGGGCAGTTGATATCATTGGCTGCAAGATGGATATCATAGATTGTGTTATTAAATTTATTATAGCTATGCAATTGATGCAAGAGGGAAAGCTTGCATGGCATTCTGAGATGTGGTGTTCTCTTGCAGTAAGGCAGTTGTCCAGAAATTGCAATTTCTTTTGTATGCGAAAAATCTTGACAGTTACTGCATCTTTTAACTCCAAATATTCAGATACGAATCGATCTCCATCCTACTGATATATTTTTTTTATTGATTAGGTAGTTGAAGGCGGGTGGTGTACATTCCATTATCCATTTGTTTGTTGTTCTGCTTATTTCTGCATTTTTAAAGAGAGGTCTGAAGGAGTGTTCTGGTAAATTGTTTATTGAATATAAAATATTTAAAATGTCCTCTTCAGTATAGCTAGATGGAACATTGTGGAGATTACATTTTGGTAGTCTTGGAGCAGAGATTTTAGTTTCTATATTTTTGATTGGACTATTAATGATGAATTCTTGCAAGGAAAAAATGTCGCTGCTATTGTCGCATTCAATAACAATACCTCCTCGTTTGAGCTTCACTATTTTCTTAATTTTGATGGGCAGTTTGTTGAGTGGAATATGTCTATCTAGATCATCAAAAATTTGTTCATTAGTATTATGCCCTCTCGGGAATATTAAAAGGGCTGTTGAGAGTCTTCTTCCTTGATTATTATTTTTAGTAGTTGATTCTGATCTTGTGGTAATTATTGTCGGTATAAATTCTTGAGAACAATTTTTAGTTTTCTTAGCTGTCTGATTGCATTGTGGCTTCGGAGTTGATGAAATGTTCAATGAATAATGAGCAGAAGAAATTGCAGTATGACTATGTTCTGAAATACTACTAAAAGAATCCAAAATGACTTGGTATGTACTTTCTTGCGAGATGTTGAACTGAAGAGATCTATCTATCGTCTTTTCCTTTTCAAATTGGGTATGTGCATTTTTAGTAGTTATTGCAGTTTGTGCAGATTTGTCTTCTTTCTGTACGGGGATTAAGTTTTTAAGTGCTGCATTTCTAAGATTATACAGAATTACCTTGAATTTGTCTTGTATTTTAGGTGGTAATATGTTCTTTCTGTACTTTATTAACTTGAGTCCATTTTCAAACTGAGTATTTATATTTTCTTTGTTATTAATTGCAAGGTGTGTTTCAATTTGGAAGCTTTCATTTAAAAAACTGCAGTCAAATTCTGACATTGTGTCAGATAATGTGTCTCTCAGTGACATCATGGATAATGAATGAGATGTTTTAAACTAATCTTGTTACTGAATTTACAAAAACGTGATACAGATAACCAAAAATTTTAAAATAACTAATAGAAAAACTAACTAATAGGTAAATAAATATTATGATACAAACCAAATATATACCATAATTTTGTATTTATATGAAAAAGTTAAAAATATTATTTATTTGATATTTTTCAGCTTAGAATTAAATCATTATGTAAATCAAATGGTTAATATTATTTATTTAAAGTAAGATATTACGAAAGATATGCATGAGCTAAAGCTATTACGTGAATGATACAAATAATGAAGTTCTATCAATTTTTTTAAAAATTAATATTTAAATGAAATTTTATGAAAATTGCTATCATTTTGAAAACTCTTCATATATTTGAACAGAAGTTATATCACAAAATAGAGAAAAATTTTTTCTATGATTCAATTATGAATTTAATGTTTAACTTTTAAACACTTTTTTAAAATTTTTAATTATAAACACATACTTAGACGTTATTGCATTACTTCATTGTTGTTTACAATTACAAATCCAATCTGTAAAGATTTTAAGTTTGCTTGATTAATAACTTTTCGATGATTAATTCTATTGCCTAGCAGGTGGTATCATTGTATTCCTCTCGAGTAGGGCTTCACGAAAGTATAAAATTCGCTTATGGTATTAGAATGTTTTTGCAATTTACAAAATCGCAACACAAGAGCTCAAAGAAACGCGTCTTTCATAGTTAATATTTTTCATGTGAAGGACACAAGTTAACTTTCAGTACGGAATGCTATTTTTAGTCTGGATAAAGATCTAGACACACATAACTTTTTCTACATCTATATGTGTGTGGCCTTTTAAATAAGGGTGCATTTTATATGCCGTCAAATACGGTAAGTCCCCAAATTTAGAACTGTTTAATAAAAGAATTCATATCCCTAAACGTGAAAAGTTGTTTAAGAGCTCTTTATTAGAAAAAAAATTAATTTTGAAATGCTTATGCTTCATTTCTTGCTTAGAAAATTGAGTATCCCATCATTTATATTAGAAATAGAAAGAAATTATAACCCATGAACTCATTCAAAAGATAACCACGTATGTCACTGAATCTTCAAAAATATTCCTTCAAAATGCTAATTCACACTCAAAATGGCAGTCGTAAAAACACACAGAAATTTCAGATGATTAAAATTAAGTACCTTCTGGCGATTTTGCCAAAAATTAAGGACTTTTAAGGACCACACGAACCCTGTAATACTCATGAGAAAACTGTTCAAAAGTTAGGATGGACTTTTCTTAGAAAATAGTTAAAGATTTTCAAAATATTCACATTTATTAAAAATTTGGTAGCACATTATATATATATATAAAATATGGATTGTACACAAACATGATGCATTTACATATACATCAAGTATCTGAAAGATTCTCTTCATCACTAGAAAACCCTTGGTTTACAGATTCTTCAAAACTCTTCAACTTATTTCTGATAACAGAAAGAGTTTCTTCAAAATCTAGTTTCCTTTTTTCAGGAATTTCTGGTTCTTGCACTTGAGATTTCTACAGGAAAAACAGAATACAAGTTGCTTAAGTGTACCTTAAAACACAAAAATATAGAACACAATTTACAAAATGAAAAAATAAGTAGGGTATTTGATACAGAATTATTGCACTAATCAATCTGCATCCATATGAAATAATATAAACAGCATTTATACAAATAGAGGAATAACATATAGAAATCTAAAATAACCAGTACTACTGAATCGCAGAAAATTGCTATCAAATGTGTGAGAAAAATACCAAAATACAGAATGTAAAAGAAAATAAGCCAAATTCTGAAAATAAATCTGGGCAAAGAGGCAATTTGCCTAGAAGGACTATTAATTTCGTTTTGACATTTTGCGTTCATTTACTATAAACGTTGATTAACTTTTTCAAATTGTTACCACCAAATATTATCATCCTGTGTTATGTTTAAAGAAATTAAATAATGAAAAAATCTGCATAAATGTATGTATGTTTCTTGCACTGTGATAAAGCAATGGTACCTAGAGCAATCAAATTTTGAATAATGTACATTTCCACCCAAACTTGGGCACCAGGAAGCCAAAATTTGGAATTTATCTCCAGTATGCGAAACTGTGTATCGAGAATTCTAAAGATAAGCACATTTAAAAATTACTTTGCGATATTGCTGTTGAATTGAAAGCGCAAAGAACATGAAATTCAATAAATAAAGGTAACACACACACAAAATAAATAAATAAATAATTCTGGGCGTAATAAACTCTGAAAGCTTTCGGATTTAATTATTAATAATTTAAGTAGCTTTTAATACTTGTGTTAAAAAATGGATGGTCAACCTGCTTCCAACCAGGACACCTATTCTACGATCACTGGATCCCATCTACAATAGCACATAGAATATGGACTTGTTAAAAAAAAAAAAAAAACCAGTATCGTCTACCACCTCCAACTTAACTGAGAAAACCATTCTGTGGTCTTCGGTTGATATACGGTCGTGTCCATTTGACTTCATTGAGAGGGGACAAGTCTTTAGACCAATTATAGTGTAGACAAGTGACGTAGTTTGTAGCACATGCCTTAAGTTCTAGGAATAGTTATTTGAGCTCATTTTGGTGGGCCAATGCCATAGCTAGAGATTTAGTCACTCGAAGCGGCCCCTGAATTTACCACCTTTCTTGACATACAAACAAATAACTAAAAAAAAAAAAAGAGATATATACAGAAATAAATTTACATTTATTTTAGAAGAAAAATTTAAATTCCAATATTTTAAAATTACAGCATTATTTTGCCCGCCTTTTTTTGTTCTCAAAACCTTCTATAACATCATAGAAGCCTACTTGATTGCTCTAGCTTTTATAACGTAGGCAGAAAATATATAAATATACCAATATATAAAGAAAATACACCTATTTATAAATTCACATATTATTGTCACATCATATTACATCAGCACTTTTCAAAAAGAAATTTTTTTATGAAACTATGGCAAAGTCTTGAGGACTATCTGCCTAGGGGAAAGATGCCTTTGTGGTTGACTTTCTAAAGGAAACTGGCTCATACACATGTTACACACGGGAAAATCCACAAAATCCAGCCCATTCGTGTGGTTCGAACAATGGACAGAACTGCTAGTGTTCAACGACTTTGAACGGTGACCTTTTGTCAAAGAGGATAAATGTGCAGCTAGCATTTTATCATTCTGACATATTAAAATGTCATATATACATGCATGTCTGAACGTATACATCTAACAACAAACAGAAAATTATAATAACAAATAGCATCTATTTTACAATATAAAATTGATAACCTATGCTATAAACAATAATTTATCTATTTTTTTAAAGTTTGCAGACAAAAAATTGTTATTTTTTAATACTGATAGATTAAAAAATACTATTTCATGCAGAAACCCCCAGTCTTAAAATATTGTTACACTGCTGATATTTCTGCAATTCATTACTATCAGTAAGTCTCATTTATTATATGTCAAATGATCACAATCTATTTTTAAAATTCATGCATCTCTGACAGTTAAAAATTTTAATCATTTAGTAATTTACTAGTAACAATGAATCAATTGAGAGACAGAGTGACCAATTATTCTCATGGCGATATATGGTCCCAGTGTCTTTTAAACAGTTTATTTTACACCCCTGAAAAAACATACTCTCTTATATTATAAAGGGAAATATATATATTTCCTTTCAGAAAAAATGTGAAGAGTCCATCTTTCTTTCAGTACATTCCTATTTTCAGTACAACTCCAAACACTCTCTCAGCTCAATGCATATTATTATGACAATAAATTTTGGCAATCTGAAGTATGTATTAAAGACATTTTTGACATGAGGAAGTGTATCGTCATGTTTTCGATAAATTCGATGCAGGTTTAGAGACCTGCCACTATATTTTTCATTCAAATATGAAAAAAATTAGCTGTGAAAACATTTACAAAACTGTGATTAACTTCTACAGCCGGCTGCACAAGTCTGATTGACCATTTTCCCTGTGTTTTCAACCAATTCCGTACTCACGGAATATGCAATGTTGACTGAAGCTGGTTTTCACTACTAGCAATATCTGGCGGCCAATAAACTGAAGACGATTCTCGTGGTGTATAATAGGCGTCCAGGTTTTAAACTTTCATGGGCGGGTGGTAATTTTTTGATTGATGATGATCAAGGAAAATCAAAACGCATCCACACATACATGGATATATACATATATACACACATGAAAGTTTAGTTTCCTATTTGGTTGTCACCCCTTTCTCCCATGCACAGTGCTCTCCTATTTCCATATGCAGGATGGTCATAAAAAAATCTCCCTTGCTATCTGATTCCTTAGTGACCTATCCACTGAGCCATTTTAATGAAATTTCAGATGACACTCAAGATGGTGCTCTTCCACATGTCACTACATGTGTTCGGCAAGTGCTGCAACAGCATTTGGAATCTTCATGGCAGCATGATCTCCCACTGGATTTCTGGTCTAGGGTCATCTGAAACTTTAGGTGTATACAGTGGTGGCTAAAATTGTGGACACTTTTGGAAATTTTTATGTTTTTGAACTTTGTATACTTATAGAAAATGTTATGTTTCGCAAAATGCAAACTTGTATACATCATTTTAAAGAGAATTTATTACTGAATTCAATACAAAATTCAATTATATGCAATACAAAAAAAGTTATATGTACTTTAATATAAATAAAAAAACACAGTTATGAAGTGTTTGTAATGTCTAGCTTTCCTGGCCAATCAATGTTCTTGTTCCGAGAACCAATCAAATGTTAGTACTGCCAGTAGAAGCTGACATCATGTTTCACTTGAAACAATTATTATTTTGCTTGTTCTGTAGAAGGAAACTGTTTCTTATACACTGCAATTACAAGTAGGAATTTTTGTAAAAATTTTTAATATTTAGTCAAGAAGCAATGACATCAAATAAAAGAGTAGATGGACACTAGAAAGAGATGAGATGTAATATTATTGTGTTACGAGAAAGTGGTCTTCCTATGCTGAAACTGCAAGACAGGTGGGTGGTTCAGTGACTACATCTGGAGTCCGAAAGTTGTGTTTACAATATCAGGAGACAAATTCAATAAAAAAACAAAGAAGGAAAAGGCCGAAAAAGTGCACCACATCTATTGATGACAGAAGAATAAAAAGACTATGTCTCCAAGATAGAAAAATGTCATCAGCGGCCATCAGAAGTGATCTGAATGATGCTGGTGTTGTTTCTGTCAGTTCAAGAACAATCAGGAGAAGAGTACAGATGTTGGACTGAGAGGTAGAATTCCACGAAAAAAGCCTTATCTTAATTTTCAGCAACGGGAAAAAAAAAAAAAAAAAAAAGAGAACAGTGGGCAAAGGAACACATTAATTGGACAAGATGATCAGTGGTCACAAGTTATATGGAGTGATGAAAAACTAAGATATCGTTATTCGTAGTGATGGGGCGAAAATATGTAAGACGTAAGAATAGGGAGAAGAGCTACATCCTGACTGCATTCAAGCAACTGTGAAGAACCCAGTTAGTGTTATGATTTGGTCATGCATGTCAGCAGATGGCATTGGTCGCCTTCATGTTCGATGGGACACTGAATGCCAGAAAATACATTGAACTATTCTAGAACCAAAATTTACCTTCCATCAGAGATCTCTTTCCCAACAATGCTTGTTTATTTTTCAGCAGATTCTGCTCCTTGCCACACGGCCAAATATTGAAAGAGTGGTTTCGTACAAGAGCATTAAATTGTTGTCATGGCCAGGAAAACAGTCCTGACCTCAATCCTATTGAAATTTGTGGCACCATTTGAAAACTCTTGTCCAAATGAGGCGCCCATCAAATAAAAGGGAACTAATGAGGCTATATTGTTTTCTGGCATCATGTAATAACGAAAGAAGAGCTTAAAACTTTTGTCAGCTCATTAAACGTCGATGTGAAGCTGTAATCAAAATAAAGGTATCCCACAAAGTACAGATAGTCACTGCAATCATCCACATCTAATGTATATCGATAACTATTATCGTTTACTGTTTTGTATTGCAAATAATTTAATTTTGTGTTTTGTATTGAATTCAGTAATAAATTCTCTTTAAAGTGATATATACAAGTTTGCATTTTGTGAATTGTAACGTTTTCTATAAGCATACAAAGTTCAAAAACATACAAATTTCCAAAAGTGTCCACAATTTTGGCCACCACTGTAAGTAAACCAGTAAGATATCCTAAGAGTTGAACCTATCGCTAAACTTCCAATACAGTTACTATGTCATAAAACATTACTGAATGAAGCAATAGAGCCAAATCCTTTGTGAGAATACCTTGCTACAAAACATCCAAAAGAGAACAATAAGCTTTCTGAATATTTTCACGCAATATATAAAAGGAAATTCGAAGTCATCTAACAATACCTGCATCATTCAAGACAATCTACCCCATTAATGAAGATGGATAATTTGCCTCTTATCACATATCATAATTAATTGCAAAAAGTGGGAAAATATAACATTGGAGAAACTTTAATACAAGTACAAACATAGCAGAAAGTCTGAAATTTGGACCACCAAATTTTTTTAATAACAATGTTTTTTGCAAAAAGGGAGAACGAATTATATTCTGAAAGTAGCATCTCGCTTTGAAATATGCTCAATGCATCTTGGCACTATAGCAAGTTTTAAATCTATTAAGCAGTATTTTTAAAGGCTATAATAAAAAAATATAGATTTTTATAAATAAAAGCTACTTCTGTTAGCTTGAAAAGCACTGAAATGTATGAAATATAATATATGACTTCTTGTTCATAACACGCAGAAATTGCAGTTGGACTTCTTTATATTTATAAGCAGCCAATAAATATAAAGATATTAAGAGCAACTGCAGTTTTTGAGTGTTGTGGTCAAGAAGTCATATAATTATTTTATTTCATACATTTCAGTGCGAATCAAGCTATAATAAATAGCCTTTAGATTAAAACAATTTTTTTTATATATTTTATTGTTGATTTTCTTTTGAAATGAGACAGTGAATTGAAAAATGAAAAAATAGTTTTATTAAGTAGATAACTGTGCAGCACACATACATTTGATCTTTTTCTGAAACATTAGCATTTCTTCCTGAAAATACAACTTCTAGCATTCAATTTTTAGACTAGTTTATTGTAAAAGTTTTCAAATATCATTACAAAAAAGATATTCAAAAAATGATTCACAGAATTGAACCTTTTGAAGACGTAAGCACTTCAAAGGAGATAAGTAAGTTGATATCTTTGCTAGAGGCCATGCATACATATTACAGTCAATGCAGGATTCCATCTCTTAAAACACGGAAAAAACTGTGTTAAAAAAATGCAAGTTTTCTTTAGCCTCAGAGGAATGGCAAATTAAGCTAATATTTCAGACATCAGTGAAGGAAGTTAAGAAAGTGTTAACTGATAACATGTGTGGTCTGATTATAAAAATTGTTAAAAGAACTGCATTAGTATTATAGAAAGTGACAAAAGAACTGCATTAGTATTATAGAAAGTGACAAAAGAACTGCAGAAACAGTCGGTGAAAGCGATACAGAAAAAGGTGATACCAAGATCAGTCATATCTAGAAAAAGCACAGCAACTTCTAAAAGCTCTTGAAGTGAAAAGTGCTGATCAAAATACAACTGAAAAACTGTTGATGAACAACATGAAACAAACACAGATAGAACAGTGGTTTGTAAGTTAAAAAATTTCATCAAATAAAAATATCTTAATGAAAAATGATAAATTTTAAACATGCATAAATAGATTTTTATAAGTAAAAGCTACTTCTGTTAGCTTGAAAAGCACTGAAATGTATGAAATATAATATATGACTTCTTGTTCACAACACGCAGAAATTGCAGTTGGACTTCTGGATTTAGCATTGATTTTTAATTATTATTTTAGGATTAATAATTGATTAATTGTTAACTATTATTTTACTAGATAAGTTTAAAACTGATATCACAACTGGCAACCTACAAATCTCTGCTCATTAAATTCAGCCACTTAATAAACTCTCAAATATGCCTGAACAGTAGTGATTTTAATAAGCAATTAGTAAACCACACTGTGTTAAATATTTTTAAAAAGGTTAAAACTGAGATGATTATAATGCATTTCATTTTGCTCAAAACTTTACTTAAACAGATTAGATGCATGACTTAAAATGCTAAAACAACTGTGTAACTTCCTTCTTCCATAGAGAGTTTCTGCAATAAACAGAAACACTGAAAATTGAATAAAGGAGAAAAATACACAAAATAATACTTAAGAAGACAGAAAAGTAACAGCTCTATGCAAAGCTGCTGGTAGTAATTTTACTGCCTGCTGCAATCTTTGTGGGTCCTAAATTCTGCTGCTCAGTGCTTCCCTAAATTAAAATGTTTTTGTTGTTCTGTGCTTCTCTAAATTCTAAAAATTTTGCCACACCAATCCTGACACTATGACATACAAAAATAAACAAGGGACTGTTTAGTAGTATAAATATGGATAATTCTTCTATATTTCTAATATGCATTAAATTATTAGCTTAAAATTCTTACCTCGCTCTCAACTTTTCTGTTGTGACGTCTATACATATATTCCTCAGCATGCTTCCTAAAAAAGTTTCATTTATGATACATCAAAAGACAGCAAAACATGGATCAACAAAATTAATACAATTTTTACAACTCTGCCTGTATAAAGACAGTTAACATATAATCTGCTTTAGATTTCAAAATTAATAAGAATAAAATTTGAAAACTTCTTGCCTTTTTTAACCTCTTCATTTTCTAACTCTGAAAATAAGACTATATTCACTGATGACACATTTAATAATTCAAAATATAAAGTCATATAAACTGTTAGATAAATCCAATCTCCCTTAAGCACATATTTTCAATGGATAGACTCAATGTCTTTAGAGTGAGATATAATGTGACTTTCTTCTTCAAAAGCAATAATACTGATACTTTTGCTTTTTCATTTATCAAATAAAACCTAAATGGTTCCAATAAAGGTTGAAAAAAATAATTAATACAAATGAATTTTCACCATGGTATCTTTTATATCTATTATCCATATATTTCTCAAGTCTATATTATCAGTTAAAATCTCTAAGAAATCTTATTTAAAAAAAAACATGTCAGAAGGCTATAATGTTCAGTTATGTTCTTGTAGGTGCAGAGGAGAATTATGATTTGCCCTTTATATAGCTTCACTGCCAATGCATGTTTTGCCTTTAAGGTAAAATATTTGTTTAGTTTCTCTTGTAAGGAACACAGTTTCATCATCAGTGAAAATCTCTCTGCCACTGCAAAACTTGATCATTCCAAATATTTTCTTTTAATGTCTTAACATCAAACTTTGAAACTGTGATTCTCCTACAATTTTTTCTGAAGAAATGTTCCACTTTTTAAACTGGAATAACCAGACAAATAAGTACAAAAAAGGGAGTCAATCCAAATTATTATGCAAACTTGTTAGTCTTTCTTTGAAATATGTGTCCACATTTTGCAAAATGTGGTTTCCACGACCAGTGTAACCCAGTTAATATACTAATTCAGAAGTCAAACAACAGTTAATATACTTTAAGATTCCAATAAGCCACTATAGCACCAGAGGTGATAAGTTTTGTTTTAAGTTTCACTAGATGCAAAGAATAATTTTTACATTTTTGTGCTGCATCTTGTGACCACGGTAAGGGTTAATGAAAGGCAGTAACTTACTTTAATATGCAAATATTATTTTTAAAGGGGAGCAGTCAGTTACTAGTAATTAAATTAGGTAAAGATACCTTTAGTCATTATACATTTACATGGCCACTATTAAATTCTATTTTTTTTTTAAATATTTGTTAAAAATGCACTATTAAAATCAAAATCTAATAACATTTCACGGAATAAAATTCATGTAATTTATGACAAATTTTTAAACAATATTAGGATGATTACACATTAAAAGCTACAAAACATTTATCTTTTGTAGCAACAACACACAACAAAATATTTATGTCTTTTTAATTTGAAGCCTTCCCAAAACATTTCATTTACTTTATATCAATTTCTTTCTCCTTAAGCATTTTTGCTAACAATCAGAAATTTGTTTCAATATGCAAAACAATATTCTGCATACTTTATCTCCTAACTTGCCAATCTCTTAACAATGTACCTATGAAGTTTTACTTGATCTGCTAGAAGTTAAATAGTCCACAACACCTGACAGATGTGAAGCAAGCAGTTTTCGCTATGGTTGAAAATAACTACAAAGTCAGATAAAGGTTTAAATAAACTCCTATTTAAAAAGACCTTAGAAGATAAAAGCATGTTCTTATGTTCTTGGAGGTGCCGAGGAGAATTATGATTTGCCCTTTATATAGTTTCACTGTCAATGCATGTTTTGCCGTTATAACAGTAAAATATTTGTATATCCAATAAACAAAATATACAGTTAAACAGTTAACAATAAACAAAATATCCAATTAAACAGGAACAGTTAAATCAAACTAAAAATGTGGACTAGTAGTCAAGGACTATACAATTTAATTTGAATCTAAGCTGGCTCTGAAACATGTCGTAACAAACTCGAAACTCGTCATAACACAGTTATCGCATAACAAATTCAGGTACTAGCAGCAGTAACGCAAGTAGAAATAATTACAAATTACCAGAGCTGGTAGGAACAAATGCTGCATGCAAGCGGAGGTCAGAAACAAATTCTGTCTTACAACCCCAAAACCTTAGTTTAAAATCTAAGTGGTTTTCATTCTGGCGAGGAGATGGAAAGGTAAAATGATAGCAAAGGGTGAGATTATAAACCGCTTAATTTACATAATAATAACTGTACATATCTTTGAAGAATAATTTTCTTTCTCTTTATGTATTAGTTTCTTTCTTTGTTACATTTCCTCCTCATTTTAGAATTTTTGGATTTGATTAAATTTCTGTTACTCTAAAAAACTAAATGCATTTAGAATGTATAAAAAAATGCTGCTAATTTTATTTCTTTGAGGCCCGGTGGCGCAGTGGCTAGTGCATCGTGCAGCAGCACTACAGGTCCGGGGTTCGATTCCCGGGGCTGGTCAAAATCGACTCAGCCTTTCATCCCTTGGGTTGATAAAATGAGTACCAAGTTCGCTTGGGAACTTAACACTGGGGTCCTGCTTCAACTGACCACTTGTTCAGGGCGTATGCTTACGCACCACGGGGCCCACTGTCAAGAAAGCAGATTTCAGGCACTGCAGGTCTTGGTCCATTAGGGCTGTTACGCCACTGAATTTTATTTCTTTAGTAATATGAACATTCAGAAAAAATATAAAATTACACTCTATAACACACACACAACAAAAAAGGAGGCACCAAGGAGTTGTCTGATGGAGACAAAAATTGATGGATAGGAAGATTATGTACAGAAAAGAAAATGATTAAAATTTCAGAACAATTGAATGATTTATTTCAGAGTTACATGGTTACAAAATAAAGAGCTCAATAAGGTGTTGAATCATCTCTAACCTGGATGCAAGCTGGAGGTGGTCAAACACATGCTGCCACATGACATAGGCATAGACTAATAAAGTTCCGGATGCTCTCCTGCGGTATTTCTTGCCAAATTTGCTCCAATTGTTGGACTAGGTCATCAACATTCCCTGGTAGATTCAGTCGCCTTTCCATCATATCCCAGACATGCTTGGTAGGAGAAAGATCTGGCTGGCCAAATAAGTGTTTGACAAGCTGTAAGACAGTTCGTAGCAACACCTGCAGTATGCGTTCTGGCATTATCTTGCTGAAAAATAAGGCCAGGGTACTGCAAAAGGAATGGTAGCAAAACAGGTTTGAAAATGTCATTGACATACCGCTGTGCTGTAAGTGTGCCTCTAATGACGACAAAGGGTCCAGCTATCAAGGGAATTTCACCCGAGGCCATAACTTCTGCTGTGACAGCTGATCTAACAATCACTCTCTCCTTCTGATCTGTTGTGACTCTAGGTCGACTGTGATCATCATGACGCTGAAATCTGCCATTGCCCACCCATTTTTGCCAGCATATTCTAATCACTGTATTTTCTTCGACTCCTATAACGATAATTCTCCGATTTGCCCAACCTGCCTCTTTCAATCCAATGATACAACCTTTCAAACTCTGACAGTTGCTCTCAAATCCTGAGGCAAGGCATTTTTTTTTTTTGAGTCGTTGAAAGGTATCCTAAAGTACAATGCAACAGATATTTTTAACAGTTAAAGAACAACTCCTTATATACTTCTGCTGAATGTGCAATTTTGATGCGTTGGAGATCACACTATTCATTCATTGGACACCAAAATTTAATCATTTACATATTTGAACAAAACATTTATGCATACGAAAATTCAAAGCAATCATTTGATTCCTTCTTGGTGCAATGTTTTTGTTATAGAATGTATATGTATGGTAAGAGCTAGTTACAGAGACAGTGTGGCAGAATTTTTAGAATTTAGTAACACATCGAGGAACAAAATCTAGAGATTGCAAAATTTTAGAATTTTGGAAGGCATTAGGCAGCAGAATTTAGAACACAGAGATTGCATCAGGTAAGAAAATGCATAGTGCCAGCCTTGTGTATGATGCACAGAGCTGTAGCTAGGGTTTTCAGCGACCACGGATAATTGAAGATTATGCGCCCCCTTGTGTATGCCAAGAATGAAAAACATTTCATTCTAAAATTTTATAATGTCAATTTTGCACCCCATGGATGCTGTGCCTGGGGATGTCCCCTTGCTCCTCCCTAGCTACACCACTGATGATGTTTGAGACATATCAGATAAATCTTTTAAATTGTCAGTTTTCAATTTTTTTATCAATAGAAAAATTCCTTTCTATAAATATCTGTCCATGTGATAAGAGTAGAAGCATTTCTGATCTTTTCCATGCTCGTGTCTAGTGAAAAGTGAGAAAACAAAGGGAAAACAAACATGTTAAGAAAAAGACATCTAGTATCAGAAGTAAAACATTCAAATACTGTCATTGCTCTTCCGAAAATCCTCCAAAAAGTAAAAGTTCATCACAAACTTTCTGTAAAATACATCCATTACGTGTTAATATCACGAAGACATTTTTCTGGAAACTTCTAGATTCGTGGGTCTATAAATCTTCAAATCCTTTTAAACTTTTCAAGTTGCAACGCCTAAAATCCTACTAATTCTGTAACAGCAAAAAGGCAGGAAATGTGTTTTGAGGAATCAGAGGGAAAAAGTGTAATATTAATTTTATACAGAAAGCTGATGCATATTGAGGCAATTACACAGAGAAAACACTCACAATGAAAAAAAAAAAAAAAAAAGGCATAATTAATTACATAACTATTTTGCTTTTACTAAGAATTAAGCATTTATTACCTTGTTTATTCTTCAGATTCAAAATATTGCATAGTAAGTTGCCAAAATAGAAAGTAATGTCACTTTATAATATGACAGCAAAAAATAAAAATATTTCATTTTAATGCTATTTCTTGAATACAGTTTCAATATATTAGCATTACTTTAATGAAACTAACTGATCAATGTTATAATGTTTTTTAAAAAAATATCGTCGAAAAATTCCCAGATTTTCGAATTAAAGATTTTCTATAGAAACCGATCTTAAAA